CTGTGGCTGTGCTGCCTCAGCGTGGTGCCTGTGGGGGGCATGGGGTGCTCCCTGCAGTCAGGACGCTGCTGTGACAAGGAAAGGTTTGCTCCAGCAAGGAGCACCGGGGAGTGGGCTGGGGAGCTGGTCCTTGCCTCCTGTGAGAGAGGAAAACAGCTTACTGTATCATAGAATCACAGAATGGTTTGCTGTGGAAGTGACCTTACAGCTTTTCTCATTCCACCCCCTGTCATGGGCAGAGACACCTCCCACCAGCCCAGGGTGTTCCAAGCCCCATCCAACCTGGCCTGGAACACTCCCAGGGATGGAGCAGCCACAGCTGCTCTGGGCAACCTGTGCCAGAACAGCTTCTCTGGGCAACCTGTCCCAGTGCCTCAGCACCTCACAGGGAAGAATTCCTTCCCCGTATCCCATCTAACCTGCCCTCTGTCACACGGATGCTGCACTAAGCAATCCCATGGGGTCAGCCTGCGGGAGTTCGCATACAAAGAGGTGACGCCATTATCATCTTCTTGAATATCTTGTGACTGACCCCTATTATTTACAAAAGTGATTCTTTCATACACACTTACTACAAGCATCTACTTATTATTGGTTAACTACCATTACTAGCCCACCCTACACACAATATAATTGGTTATTAACATATCAATCATAAAATGCCCCAATCATTGTTCTCCACCTCTAACCATCTCCAGCTCCTGCATCCCACAGCAGGAGCTGCTCATCTTGCTCCCTCCTTCCTCCCATTCCAGTCACAGCTGTACAGCTTAGCTTGCAGCTTGCTCAGGCCCTGCTAGCAAGGCTGGATTGCTCACATGTCCGTTAGCAATCAGAAATTCTCCCACACCAGCCCATGGAGCCACTGCCCACAGCGTGCCCCAGGAGCTCTGGCAGCAGTTCTCTCACGCTGTTGGGTGTGGGAAGGGTGACACGAGGCCAAGCACGGCAGACAGCAGCAAGGTGCACAGATGACTCAGCAGACGGTGTTGAGGGATGTGTTGGCAGCACCTGGGAGGAGGCTCAGCAGTAGAGGGGAATGCCTGGCAGTGGGGGTGATGCTCCTCAACATGGGGGATGCTTAGCACTCTGGGGATTGCTCTGTGGCGTGGGGGATGCCTGGAGCCGTGGTGAGGATTGGCCCTTGGGGGGGCTCCCAGCAGACAGAGCCATGGGGGATGCCCAGAGGCAGAGGTGATGCCAGGTGCAGAGGGTGATGCCCAGTGGCAGAGGTGATGCCAGGTGCAGAGGGTGATGCCCACGGGCAGAAGTGATGCCTGGTGCAGGGGATGATGCCCTGAGGCAGAAGTGATGCCAGGTGCAGGGGGTGACAGGGCATGTTCCTGCTTTTCCCAGACAGTCCAGACACCAAACCTCACCTTTTTTTCTCCTTTCTTTCCAAAGTGGGACATTTTTTCCCCCCCAGGAAAGTCCTCTTTCCAAGTTGTTTTCTTACTTCAGTTCTTTTCTTTAAAATCAAAATTTTGAGCACACCTTCTCAATTTCCCATGTTCTGGAAGGCACATGTGCTTGTTTCCTGCCTTTTCCTGTCTCTTCCCAAGTGGTTTTGGCCATGGGGGCCGGGACATGCGATGAGCAGAGGAGGAAGAGACAGTACAGGGAGAAACAGTGAAACCAAAACGCCGGAAGCTGGCGGCTTCTGATGCCATGTGCATGGGAAGCACTGTTGGGGGGCTGCTCCTGCCTGCACGTTTTGAGGTGCAAATCCTCGGGATTTTCTGCCATTTTTCTCTCCAAGTTGTGTTTATTGACTCTCTCTGAAGACTTTCTGGGGAAACAGGAATGGTGTTTGTGTTGGGCACCAGGCAGGACTTCCAGTTTGGGGATGCTGGGGATGCCAGGGAGTTGGTGGCATTGACAGCTCTGCTGGGTCTCTTCATCTGCTTCATCCACTGATCGAGTCACCATCCCTGGAGGGATTTAACAACCATGTGGATGTGGCACTTGGGGACATGGTTAGTGTTGGCCTTGGCAGTGCTGGGGGAATGTTTTGGGCTTGATGACCTCAGAAGGCTTTTCCAGCCTAAAGGATTCTGTGATTCTATGAGTCTGTGATTCCCATTAGTGTAAAACCAGCATGATGTGTCCCTGTGCTCTTGTTAAGCCAGAAGCTCATACCTTTCCCTGGCATGGTGGCGGCCCAGGGTGTCCTCAGCCCCTGGGCTGTGCCAGGCTGTGCCAGGTGGCCACTCACCCCCCATGCCCACAGATTGCCTCCCTGCTCAAAGACCACGAGCGCATCCAGGCCAGCCAGACCAGTGCACCCAGCGACGACGACAGTGACATCAAGAAGATCAAGAAGGTGGGTGGTGGCAAGGGTTGGCCCTTGGTGGGTCCCAGCAGGCACAGCAGACACACTCTGTTGGGTGCTGCCTGAGGTGTCAGGGTAGGTGCCTCTGCTACCCTGGTGTTTTAGGAGGGAAACATGTTTTGCCCAACTGGCAGCCCATCTGTTGGTGGGGCACTCCCAGTGTTCTCTGGATGCACGAGGCATCCCTTCTTGTGCTGGCTTGTGCACCACCAGCCCCTCTGACATCTTGTCCCTCAGCCCCATCCCTAACTCCCAGCTGCTGCTCCCCTCAGGTGCAGAGCTTCCTGCGGGGCTGGCTGTGCCGGAGGAAGTGGAAGACCATCATCCAGGACTACATCAGGTCCCCCCATGCCGACAGCATGCGCAAGAGGAACCAGGTGGTGTTCAGCATGCTGGAGGCTGAGGCCGAGTATGTCCAGCAGCTCCACATCCTCGTCAACAACTTCCTACGGCCGCTGCGGATGGCTGCCAGCTCCAAGAAGCCTCCCATCACACATGACGATGTCAGCAGCATTTTCCTGAACAGGTGAGCTCCATCCTGGGCTCCAGGAGCTCTGTGGCATCCCTGGGCACACACTGCCTTCCCCAGGATCTCCCTGGGAGCCTGCAGCTCCGTGGCCCCGTGCTTCCTCTGCGCCCTCTTGAGCAGCCTCCCCCCAGCCAGCCCAAGGGCTGCTCTGCTCTCTCTGGGCTGGAGCTTTTGTTTAAATCCTTGTTATTTGCTGCTTGTTCATTTGTCTTGGTTTGGCTCAGTCCTGTCTTGGTTCCTCTTTCAGCGAAACAATTATGTTTTTACACCAAATCTTTTACCAAGGCCTGAAGGCTCGGATCTCCAGCTGGCCCACGCTGGTGCTGGGTGAGTGCCACTGCCTCCTCCTCCTCTCCCTCCTCCTGCAACTCAGCAAGCACTTGCCAACCGGCAGCAAAACACACTTCACAGCACGTCGTCTCTCAGTCTTGTCAGTCATAGAGTAAAATACCCCAGAGCACCCCAATTTCTGCACTCCTGGTCCTGCTGGGTGGTGGGAGAAGGTGCTGGACCCTGCACAGGCAGGCTGATGCTGGAGAACATCCTTGTGTCCCATCAGTTCCTCTTAAAACTCAAACTGGGCAGAGCTGGAGGTGGCACAAGGAGCAGAAGACCTGGGGGATGCTCTGGGTGGGATCTGGGGGTGAGGGGGGTCAGGGGCTGTGCTGGGACTCCAGGCACGGGCTGGAGCATCCCACCTGGGATGAACCTGCTGCCTGCTCTGCTCCCAGCCGACCTGTTCGACATCCTGCTGCCCATGCTGAACATCTACCAGGAGTTTGTGCGGAACCACCAGTACAGCCTGCAGATCCTGGCGCACTGCAAGCAGAACCGTGACTTCGACAAGCTGCTCAAGCACTATGAGGCCAAGCCTGACTGTGAGGAGAGGACCCTGGAGACCTTCCTCACCTACCCCATGTTCCAGGTGACCACTGGTGCCAGGATCAGCCTCGGGGATGCCCAGTGGGATGGGATGGGATGGGATGGGATGGGATATGAGATGCAAACCCCAGCCCCACAGCAGACACCGGGTGGCAGGGAGGCAAAGCCTGGAAGAAGGTGCCATAGGGATAAATCCTAGTGGTCCCACACTGCACCTGGGTTGTTGGTGCTGTGGGAGGACTCTGTGTGAAGCTGCTTCCTGGTTACCCCACACCTCTGACACATGGACAGGGGACAGCAGTGTCCTGGGCACAGCCCTATGCGGTTCCCCCTCTTCATTCAGCTTTGACACAAGGAGTTTTGAAGCTTTAACCTACCAGATCAGGGTGTCCATGGCTGTGGCATCCCCAGCCATGGTGGGAGCAGCTCAGGGTGGGCACTCACAGCCTCCAGTGACCCCCCTGGTCCCCCACTCTGTTCTGTGTGCTGCAGATCCCCAGGTACATCCTGACGCTGCACGAGCTGCTGGCTCACACCCCCCACGAGCATGTGGAGAGGAACAGCCTGGATTACGCCAAGTCCAAGCTGGAAGAGTTGTCCAGGTGAGAGCCACCACTGCCATCTCCTGCCTTCCTGCACCGGGGCAGGTGGAATTGGGTCCTGGCTGCATTTTCCAGGGGTCCTGGATGATGAAATGAGGGATTTGGAGGGCTGGGATGACTCTGTTTTTGGTCTTACCTGGTGCAGCTCTACCATGTGTCCAAAGGGATCTGCTGAGTAAACTCGTGCAGGTCTCTTCTCAGCTCCAGTTGTCTCCCTCCAGGATAATGCACGATGAAGTGAGTGAGACTGAAAACATTCGGAAAAACCTGGCAATAGAGAGGATGATCATCGAGGGCTGCGAGATCCTGCTGGACACCAGCCAGACCTTCGTCAGACAAGGTCAGTGTTGGCACCCACATCCCTGCCCTTTGCGGCTAATGTGAACCCCACATCATTGTCCCTCTGTGTGCTCCAGTGGGCTGTGAAATTTAAAAATATAGCTCAGTTCAGAGTTTCGTCTGCTCTATGCACCTCACATTCAGGCACTTTTGGCACTTTCAGGCAGTTTTGCCACTTTGAGGCAATTTTGTCACTGCATTTTTCTGCATCACAGCGCAGAAGGTGCATTTTGACTGTTACTGATTCCCCACCCAGGGAAGCAGCAGGACCACCCTGAGCTCCTGGACTTGGTCCTGGCTGAGCACCTGTGTGATGTGGCTGCAGGGGTGGGCTGTGGGCTGTGGCTGGTGCCCAAACAGCCTCTGGGCCCCCATGACCCTGTGGGCTCATCCCAGCCCTGGTTCCTGGGGACACTCTTGGTGATGTCCTGCTCTGGGTACACAGCAACACCTCAGTCTTGGGCACATGCCCCACAGTGCTGCCTGATGCCAGGGCTGAGCGAAGTCTCTCCTCTGCAGGGTCCCTGATTCAGGTGCCGATGTCGGAGAAGGGGAAGATCACGCGGGGGCGGCTCGGGTCCCTGTCGCTCAGGAAGGAGGGTGAGCGGCAGTGCTTCCTCTTCTCCAAGCACCTCATCATCTGTACCCGTGGCTCCGGGGGCAAGCTGCACCTCACCAAGGTCAGTTGGGCCGGGGGGGCCCTGGGAAGGGGCTGGTGGCTGCTGGGAAGGGGGCAGAGCTGGACTCTTGGTGACACAGGGGTCCAGGGAGCACTTTGCCCTCCCCTGGCTGGGAGCAGGTGGACACATGGATTTATTTTGTGTGGTCCTTGTTGAAGCTGAGTCACAGGAGAGATCAAAGACTACAAGAGCCCAGTAAAAGAATTGGCCCTGATCTGCAGCAGAAACCTTGATAATTTATTCCAGGAGAAACTGGAATTACAGCCTGGGCTGTCCACAGCACTCCCAGCTCCTCCAGCCACTCCCAGGGCTCCTGTGTTTATTTGGGGAAGTTTGGCAGTTAATTGAGCAAGAATCTTGCAGAAATTACTCATTACTGGCATTCAATTATCACTTTGAAGAATTACAGTCCGTGGCAAAGAGCTGATAATTACAACAACAGACTTTGGGAAAATTAAATTTAAAGCTCCTATTAAATAATTTATAAACAAATTAGTTGATCAGTTTGACAAGGAAAGCTCAGAGATCCCAGCGGGCAGGGAGAAACTGCGGGTTTCCAAGTCAAAGCAGGCACTGTGCTGGGCACAGGCTGTGTCCCTGCCCTCCCCAGGCTGAGTGTGTCCCCCCAGGAACACCACCTCCTCCCCAGGCTGAGTGTGTCCCCCTGGGCTGTGTCTGTCTGTCCCCAGGAGCATTGCCCCTTCCCTAGGGCCGTGTGCCCCCATGGCAGCATCGACTTGTCCCCGTCCCTGAGGGATCACCCTGGAGGTGATCCCCCTGCTGAGCCCCAAGTTCTGCCCCTGGGGTGGGAGGCAGTGATGGGGTGCTGGGGCCAGGGGACATCCCAGCCTCCCAGGGGTCCCACTTCTGAGCCCCTCTCCTGCCCCACAGAATGGGGTGATCTCGCTCATCGACTGCACACTGGTGGAGGAGCCCGAGAGCACCGACGAGGATGGTAGGTGCCCTGTGTAGGGTAGATGCCTCTTGGGATGTGCCCAGGACCCTGCTCTGGCTGCAGTGATGGGCAGTGGGGTGGGGGTTTGGCTTGTGCAGGTCCCAGCAGGGGCTGAGCAGATGAGTGAGGCCACAGCTCCCTCAGAACCCTCTTTGCTGTGACTCTGGCACTGCTGGCACAGCACAGCATCTCCCTCTGTGCTCCACCCAGGGGTTTGGGTTTGGCAGTGTGTTCACCCCATGGCAGGGGAGCAAAGCCCACACCTGGTGCTGGGGTGCCTTCCTGGCTGGGGACAGCTGCCGTGGCATCATGGGCAGCACTGCTGGTCAGGGGTCTGGGGTCCTCCTGGACATTCCCACCATCCATCCATGTGGCATAAAACCAGCTGTGGCAGAGCTGGAGCAAATTCAGATGCCAATAGATTCAATGAGGATATGATCAAGACTTAATGAAATTAATTATTTAATGTGAACCGAGTGGACACACATGAATGCAGACCTGACCTTCCTGGGGCAGCCAACGACCCACAAAGCCCTGAATAAACCCTTCTTAAAACCTGACTAAAGCCCATACTGGGGGTGAAGGGGTGGGAAGACCTTTCCCAATCACTGTGGATGTTTTTTTCTGTTCCAAAGCGAAAATGTCAGGACAGGACATTGATCACCTTGACTTCAAAATTGTGGTGGAGCCGAAAGATTCCTCATCTTTCACAGTAATCCTCGTGGCCTCATCCAGGCAGGAGAAGGCTGCATGGACCAGTGACATCAGCCAGGTAGGACCCTGCAGGGATGGGTGTTAGGGTGCAGAGTCCCTGGGATGAGGAGCTGCTGTGGGATCCCTGATCCCTGCTGGGCTGATCCCTCCTCTGCTACCTTGTGCTGGCTGTGGCAGCAGCTTTGGGAACACAAATCAACACCTGAGGTTTACTGCACAGCTACAGTCCTGCCACCTGCCCTCAGGCTGTGTCTGCAGTCATATATCCCATCTGGATTTGCACCAGAGGTGTTTTCCTGGCACTGTCAGGGTGTCCAGGAGCTGCTGCAGTCTGGAGTCTCACTCAGGTTGAGCACTGGGCATGGGGCACCCCCCCAGGGAGAGCAGAGGGGCTCCTGCAGAGGGCGACATGGCTCTGGGCTGCACCCAGAGCTCAGCCAACCCCAGTGTGCTGTCGGTGGCTGGAGGAGGTGAAGGATGAAGGTGACAGACCTGCAGCAGGGTCTGTCCCATCGCTGCTCTCCTGCACATCTAGGCCTGGGGTGTGGGTTCCTCCTCTGATTACGACCCATGGTACAATTTCCACCTGATACTCATATGCTTATGCAAATGACCCTGGAGATACTTCTCCCAGGTGGGAGGAAGAGGCAGAGTTCCTAGTTCAGTAGGGATTGCCCTGACACCTCTGCTGTGCCATGCCCTTGCCTTTGTCCCCTTTCTAAGCATTGGTCCTGGAGGAGACCTGTGGGCAGGAGCTGGGGTGGCCCCTGGCAGGGAGATGGTGACTCCCAGTCTGGCCAGCAGCAGCCACGGGGCCAGTACCTGCAGGGGCAAGGGCCAGGGCCAGTCCTACCTGCACAGGGATCCCTGCAGGGACCTGCTGCTCACTGGGTCTCCCCCCAAGAGCATACATCAGTGCAGGCTGAGGGGAGTTTTGTTCTGTCAGTAAAGGCTGGGAGCAGGATTTGGCCACCCTGGCAATCACTTTGTGACTGTTGGCACACCTGGAGCCTGGCTGGTTTGTCTGGGAAAGCCTGGGGGCAGCTCTGGGCAATGCTCCCCCAGAACAGGGATGCGGGACCATGGCCATGCAGCATCCTGTCCTCAGGCAGGAGCTCCTGCCCTTTCCAGCAGTGCACCCCGAGCCATGGTCTCCCATCAGACACAGGGGATGCAGTGAACAGGAATGTGTCTGGCCTGGATAAGGCTGAGCTCCTGCTCTTTGGTGCAGCAGGGTCACCCCCACCACCTTCCC